CCGCGACTGCTGTGACCAAGGAGACATCTGCAGACATGTGTGATTTAGGTGGCTACGTTCCCTTGTTAGCAGTTATGTTGAATCAACATACGGCACATATTCATGGCAAAATGTAAGACTTTTCAGTAGGGCTGATCAACCTAGCTGAGCTCTGGGCTAATACGGCTATTTTGCGTCTGCTACCCAAGTTAACTCCCGTAGACGTTTGGACCTAGCTGCATTGTGCTGTCCCAGATGTGCTGTGAAAGGAGATCTCAAAATCCCTGCCCCCTCTTTCTCAGGCTGTGCTGAGCTGTCTCTGGCCAGATATGTCCTGTAAAGGGGGTGACTCACGTCCCTGCTCCATGCCAGCCGATGGCGGAGGTGAATTAGCCAACAGTGACCTGAATATGAGTCACTGGAACGCAGCGATTGCCTGCAACTTTCCATTTCTTGGCCCTTCTATTTTTGGGTCCAGCAATTATGAGGTGAATCACTGGTGTCTCACTTTACTCCGGGAGGAAACCAAGCAAATTGTGTTAACGTGCTTGGCAAGAAGGACTCTTGTTCTCTAGCATTTTACAGGTCTTGGCCTTTCTTCTCACTCCCCAGAGCTCTGTGTTCACAGTTCCTCGTGTAACCATCGCACAGGAACTGAGCAATGGCCAGACAACCTCAGGCTCGTGCTCCTTCCAGCCTAGTGTCTTGTTGCGGAGGAGAACGGATGCTTCAAATGCCTGGAGGGGAATCCCAAGAGATCCCAAAGGCTTTTATTTCCTTGTTTGTCCTTGAGAAGAGCTTGGTCCACATGGCAGGATTTAGATCAGAGAATAGCATCAAATGGATAACTCAGAGGAGGACAAAGACCCATGTTGACATTGACATTTATGGGAGCTGATCTTGCGACATTTCTGCTATTCGAAGGAATGATCATGCCCTCAGGCTTATTCCTTACTGTTTGCTTTGTTGTGTGGCGCACGGCAGCACAACTGCATCAAAACTCTCCAGCAGAGCTAGGGGAGAATCATTGGCCCCTTTTGTAAAGGTTTTCCTGATGAGTCAAGAGTGGCACGTAGAGGGGTTTTATGCTTCCTTGCGTGAGCTGGACCCTGTCAGGACGCTAAACTCCCCGGCAAGTGGAAAAGTAAGCCTGAAGTCCTGCACAAAGAGCAGTTAAATCCCATCCCTGTTTTACAGCTTCTCTTTGTACAACCTGAGCAAGATGACTTGATAGATTCACCTGCAGCTTTATTTTAGTGCCCCAGAATTCCTGAGCGCGTTTGTTTTTCTTGCACATTCCTGCCTCTGCAAGTCCCTTCCCGTTTCAGCTTTACGATTCAAAGTGCCTGTTTAAAACTAATCTCCAAACACTTCCTCTCACATACAGGAAAACCGAGGGCATATTTTTGTATCCAGGAATTCCCAGGCTGAAAAGGAATCTGTTGGGGATTGTCAGGCTGTTCGAGGAGAGGGGATGGAGGAACTGTAAACTGCAGGAATTTGAAAAACCTACTTTAATTTAAGAGGAATGTCCTTTTGTTCCCAAATGGGTGGGCCTAGATCCAAAGGCATTCAGGTGCGGGTAACTGTTACCAGATGGGCTGTGAAAAGCAACACAAACAGGTGGTCAGGACAGCAACTGTAGACTTTAATTTCCTTGTAAGCTTCTCTGTGGCTTACATCGCCTCTCGACAGCATGAAGATAAGGGGAGCTGTCGTATTTCTGTATGGCAAAAGCAATGACAGTCGAGGGATCATTCTGTAACTATATATAGTGGGTGAAGCCCTCAGCCTCTCAGTGGTGAGACTGTCATCTGGTCCAATATGCGTATTAATCAGCATGAATACAGTACCGCATATAATACACTAGCATGTACATTTTATAGATATAATAATCAATATATTTGAACGTGTATTGATCTGTATATTGGTTCAGATGCTCTCAGGTGTAACTACTGTTCCTGCACATAAGGCAGTGGGACCGCACTGACCCCCAACCTGGGGCTCTGCTGGGCATACTCAGGAGCTTTGAAGGCTGGGTTTTACAAGAGCATTAAAAGCCTTGCTGGTTTTCATAGGATCCTGCATATATGTAGGGTTAAGTGAATGATTATGACCCAGACAACCGGCAACCCTCTTTCTCTCTGCCCTGTTGTAGGTGTGCGTTGTGAGGCTCCGGCAGATGGCCCCGATGTCGGTACTTGCTTTGCTCAAGCCCGTTCCCTGTAGCAGCCCCCCAGGGAATGGCAGGAGATAGGAGGTCCCAAGGTGTCTAGAAGGGACAGCGTCCTAGGCCGGCTCACGGACACCTGGGAGTCTCTTTCCAGCTCCAGCTTCTTCCATGCAAGGGGCCTTCATTCTCACTGCTTTAAAGAGTTGGTTTGTGTTTAGTCTGCTCAGGCAGAAAATGCCCTGAAGGGACAGACAACGGAACCAACTTTTTTCCATTTCAGTGTCGTGCTGGAAAATTAACCGCTCCTTCCCATGTGTAAAGATGGGTGATTTTTCCTAAAATCTGGGGACTGGAGCACGTAAAAAGAGATGGATTCAAGGCAATGGCATACCAGTCCTGTGGCCTGAACAGGGCTGTTTACTAAGGCAGCTATGGCATTGCAAAGGCTCTTACAGGGTGGTGCCTTGCTCTCTGCTTGCTTTGGATGTGGCCTCACACTGTAATTGGAGTGTTTGTTGTGCTGATCGGTGCAGATGATCAAACCCCTGGAGCCATCACTCAGTGCTTGCCAGCATCTGCTGATACCCGTGCATTAATAGCTCCCTCACTGCTGCTATACTGGAATGTGCAACAGCAATGAAAAAAGGAGAAATGGTGCAGAGCGGGTATTTGCCAAGGCCAGGAAAGCCATTTCATAGTTATCTTGGCACTGATGTTACTCCAGTGTCTTTAGGCTCAGGCAGTAATGATGACTACAAGCATATGGGTGTACTGATTTCTTGCCAGACTAAATACAAGCCAGGCACAAAGCAAGACGTGCTCTTATGGGATGCACAGCTTGTTGTTTGCCACCTTGTTGGCCAGGCAAGGGGTTCCTGTAGCGTATGCGATGGTTCCTCAGTCTGCAATTCCCACCATGCTTATGTTCAGCCTCTCTCTTACAGGGCTTTTGCTTCCCAATGGCAATGGTATTTGTATCCGGCTGACTGTATTTCAGCGCCCTTGGCTTGGGAGCATATGAGGGAAGCTGGCTTTTGTGCTTGTCTTTTGTTCACATCAGTATCACTCACACTTCGTTTGCACTCTCTGACACCTCTTTGTTCGTGGCTCCCCCTCTCTGCCTGGTTTGATGTCTTTTGGTGTGGATATGGGGAGGATAAGAGAATGCAGTCCTCATTTAAGCCGAATGGAGTTACATACAGAGAATAGGCATTACCTTGGCTATAGTCAAGTCCAGTGTAATGTAAGCTGTTTCCTTACACTGACTGTCTACACACAGGCATGCCTTGATGCAGTCAGTAAGAGCTGGTGCAGGAGTTATGGACTCCCCTGAAAGCTGTATTGTGTCTCTGTAAGTGCAGTCCTTGGAAATGTAAAGCCCAGAGAGCAAGAGTTCATGAATCTTTGCGGTCAGGAAGGTTTCTAGCCTTGTAGGAAATGGGGAGATACGTTTTGGACTTGTTTGTTTGTTTTCAGAGATAAGGAAATTGAGGCATAGGGTAGCTTGAGAGAGTTGGCCCTATCTTATGCAGTTGCGCTGGGAAGTGAATGCTTGGGTCAACACACTTTCCACCTCCTTGTTACATGGGGACTAACATTATGTGCTTAAAGGGCAAGCCAGTTCATCCAGTCCGTACTTCCCGATGGAAGACTGGAGAGAGCAGACAGCAGCGTAGTGAAGAACGTGACAGGTCCCTGGCTGAAGGGTGGAATGGGGAGGTTGATTGGGTCTGCAGGCACATGCAGTGAGTGGGAGCCTTCATTTAGGTCAAGAATCCCTTGCAAATAGTGCTTGTTAGCGAACCCGAGCTGAAGACCCAGCATGTTAAGCCCGTACGCTTGTTGCACATGTAAAAAAAGATGTGTATATGTAGAATGGGAAATGGAGGCAAGGAAGCGGGAGAAGGCCCTTCCCCAGAAGTGGACTGGAAAAGATTGAAAAGCTCCCTGAGGTAGCTAAACCCCTAGGGGCAACTTTTGGGCATGTCTAGGTTGCAAATTAAAGGTGCAGATGCAGCATGGGTAAGCTATAGCTTTGCTGATAATAGGGATCTGGCGGGATTGTGGAAATCTAAACGCTGGAGGATCCCCATGGGACATCTGTGTGAATGCATGGGTGGCTGACTCCAGCTGAAATGAATCTAGATTTGGGTAAGGTGTGAATTTCAAGTGGATCAAATTAAATGTGCTATCCAGATGTCAGCCCATCCATTCCAGCACAGATCCTCAGGAATAGCAAGTACTGAGAGCTCCAAGGTCAGCCAGGCCTGAGACTCTCGGAGGAGGAATGATTGGAAGTGAGGAGACACCAGGGAGCCATATCAGGGATCTTCTGGGGATGGAAAAACAGAGAGGATAGTGGCATACTACTGGAAACTTTGCTCATTTGCCCCAGTACTTCTTGAGGTTCAGATCACCTTTTTCTTGGACCCTGGACTCTGCAGAGCGCAGAGGACAGAGAGGAGAGGAAAGAAGGTCTGGTCAAGAAAAGCTGTCTTAGTTGTACATGTATGCACTGATAGGAAGAAAGCTGGATTTAAAGTCTTGCTCCAGGATTTGGGTGTTGTATCTCAGCCAGAGGACAAAAAGCCATAGAGATGAGCGGGGCTAAAAGACATGTGCTGGTCTTGTCTGTAGCACTGGCAGGGCCCTTGTTGACCCTTGTGTCCACTTCCTGCATCTCTGGCTGAAAGCAGGGGGTAGGTTGTGGTTAAGGCATGGTGTTGACATTGTGCAAGCCCTTTCCTATACTCACCAGGCTCCATCTTAAAACCATTGAGGTCATTCACTGCCTTGCCATTGGCTCTTTAATTTTCCAGCCTTTCACTTCTCTAATTGTCTCTCCTAGATGATCAGCTGAACTCAGAAGAGAAGAAGAAAAGAAAGCAGAGAAGGAACAGGACTACCTTCAACAGCAGCCAGCTCCAGGCATTAGAGAGGGTTTTTGAGAGGACACATTACCCTGATGCCTTTGTACGGGAAGACCTTGCACGCAGAGTCAACCTCACTGAAGCAAGAGTTCAGGTAATTCCCCATAGCTTGTGTCCAGAACACACCTCACTTTGGTGCTGTCTTCAGGCCATTCCAGTATGTCAGGAGGGGTCGTCAAGGTCTGCATGGCACACTGGAGTCACCAAGCTTCTGGGCCATCCCATACTGCAGTCCCAAGCATGCCATGCCTTGAGAAGAACGACTACCTGGCCTGGTCTGCCACCATACATCACGTCTGCCTTTTCAGATGTGTGCATGGGGTCCTCTGGAGGCCAAGGTGTTGTCCATGGCCTAGGTGTCTTGTGCTGAGGCTGTGTACATTATCTTGAGCTTCACAGCTCTTAGCTTGCAAGCCTGCGCTTCCTGGTGTGGCAGAGCATAAAAGCAGATTGGGGAACATGCTGAGCTGTACAGCACTCCCAGACCTTGCAGCCTATTGCGAGCACAAACTTAGTCCTACAGGAACCTCACTTAGTCTGTTCCTTGCACTAGGGCTCTGTCGGGGCAGAGACATGTGTTGTCTTGTCATTACAGTTTCCCATGACAGGCATGCCATAGCAACCTGCTTTTATAGAGTCCTGTCTTGCCAAGCAAGGCTGAAGTGATATGCTGAAAGAGCGAGTGTCACGGCAAAGCTGTTGTGACAGCTGGTGGATCTGTGTGCTCCCCATGCCAGGTGTGGTTCCAGAACCGGAGGGCGAAGTTTCGCCGGAACGAGAGGGCCATGCTGGCCAGCAAGAACGCTTCTCTGCTCAAATCCTACTCAGGGGACGTGACCGCTGTGGAGCAGCCCATTGTACCTCGCCCAGCTCCGAGACCCACCGACTATCTCTCCTGGGGTACTGCCTCACCTTACAGGTGAGTGAATAAACCCTCTTGGACTGACCAGCTTCCCTAGGCCTCGTCTGGCTGCTACTTTCAGGATGACGTGATAGTCCCCTCTGTGGGAATGCATCCGACAGTCTAGATTACCTGTAGTTCCTCTCCTGTGCCCAAGCTTTTCAGACACGTCTGTGCCTTCCTTATTCTGGCTTGGGGCAGGAGAGACTTTCTGGCGTAAGACAGAGCGTCCTGAGAATGGCTCTGAGATGCATTTGCTTGTAACTGCTCTAATGGGCTGCTTATATTCGCATGGGACAACTGGAGGGTACAGCGATCGGACCATCCCACTGGTCTTTCCTTACCTTATTCCCATCTATTCCACCAGTTCTCACTGCCAGACTTGCAAGGTGGGGTTGGTATAGCATCATTGTGGCTCCCCCCGTCTTGGATCCATGGGATTTTGTGGCTTCTTTTTTGGTGGTCTCTCTCTGCAGTTCATGAGGTGTTGAAAGATAACTGGGTAGAAGTACCTGAAAGCAGAAGGAGTTGCACTTTCTTCCCTGATGAATCCCGTTTAAATCTAGAAATAAACGTTTTTGCAGATACAGATCAGGGGACGGGGGGGTGATGGCAGAGTAGATGGCAGAGTACTTTGAGAGACTCGGCCACCAGGCAGCGAGTGGAAGAGGCCCTGGAGAGGAGTTCTGTGCTATTTGCTAGGGCACCGGTATGTGTGTGACCAAGCTGTGCGGCTGTGCTGTGCTGTGGTTTGCCAGCAGTGAGGACCAGCTGTGCCTGGATGGCAAACTGGGGTTCAGCGTCCATCTTCTGTGGCCAGCACTGCTTGAGGGGTGGTGGTAAAGGAGCGCTTGGTAAGAAATGCAGATATGGCAACCCCAGTCTGCTCAAAGGAGCTGGGATGTCCATACAATTCACAGGCCTCCCTGCCTTTCTCTGTCCCATCCACAACCTGGCGGGCACTGGGTGTGGATGCAGATCCACAGGATGTGTTGGTTTGTGGGGAGCCAGCTGTCTTGTAGGCAGTTAAAAATGAGGTTGGTGGGTGTTTTTTAGCACAGTGGCCTCATTGTTGGTCAGGACCTTGGAGCCCCTGGCTGGGTTTCTTCCTGTACAGCTGTCTCTGTCACAGCCAGCTTCCCACTGTCTACTGTGAGCCGCACCAGGCCAGGGGCCTCTCTCCTTCAGTCGCTTTCATCCCCTTCTCTCACCCCAAACTTTATTTGCACAGTGAGGTCTGCAAACATGTGGCCTCCCTCACAGGTGGTTCCTTTAGCTCCGTGGGATCATCCTCTTCCACGTCATAACTTCAAGAGAAAGAGAGTCTTAAGTTCACCCACTCCACATAGTGCAAAGGATGCTTTTGATGACCACTAGTTTGGTCTTGGAAATGGCCCTTGTCCTCTGGATTTTGTCTGAGAACTGCTGTCTAGCAAAGCCCCTCTTTTAGGGCTAAGGCTTTCTCCCTGTGAAGTGTGCCTTGGTGTTGTATGCTAGGCAGGAGCTGGGGTGGCGAGGAGTTTAGGGAAGACAAGTGCAGCTACTAACTCCTTCCCCACCCCACTAAGACTGCTCTGGTCACAGTACCAGATCTGTACTGAATGCCTGTGGCTTATTTCTACCTCTCACACTTTTAAAAATAGATCGTCCCTCCCAAGATGTTGTTTACACGAGGGGCTTCATAGCGGCTTCTAGGAGAAGACCCTGCAAAGGTAACTTCCAGGGGCACACTGGGAAGGGCTGTCTGGGGCTGCTCTGGGCAACAAAAAGCCCAAGGCGGCTGGGATGTGCGAACGAGGAGAGAAAGAGAGAAGGGAAAGCCTTAGAGACCTTTTTTTTTTCCACCGGTGGTGGAGGTCCAGGCCAGGCTCTGCTTGCCTGCTGGTGTGGAGAGGCTTTCCTGTCCTGGTGTGCCATTCGGAGCAGTACAGCTGACAGCAACAGGGAGTGCAGGGGCACACGCAGCCTTGGCTTCCAAGGGGGAACGCACCCCTTTACCCAAGCCTGTCCAGTGTCCCAAGGCCCAGCACATGTGCACAAGTCCACTTTCACGGAAATGGGTTTAAGCCAGGACATTTCAGCAAAGACATTTACAGCTTGAAGCCATTGCCACAACTTAAAGCCGTTCACACTGGCTAATATGCCAGGGTGGACTATCTTTTTCCCCCTGCCCCTGCAATGGGGTTGGGAGGCTTTGGCAGAGAAGTGGAGCAGCTGATTTCAGCAGCATGGGGTGGTTAGGACCCTTGAACACTTTATGCCTCTCCAGGCTTCAGCCCAAGCTGCAGGAATGGTGATCTAGTCTTGTATTACCGCTCTAGGCAAGAGGTTATAAAAACACAGGCAAACTTAGGCAGATGGTTAGGTGACTTGACCATGGCTGCAGATAAGGTCAGTAGCAAGGTCAGAACTAAAACTAATGCCTTTATTTCTAATCCTGCCAGGCATCTCCTAGCAATCATATTTATGTTAATGGGCACTTGGGCAGGTTTTCACTGACTCATTTAGGCTTTGAACTGAGTAGGGTTGTTGGACACTTGGTGATAAACAACTCTGTGGAGCGTTTGCAGGGCCCCCTACTCCCTCCCCATCTCCTCAGACTTGCCTTACAACCCTCTGATTAACGGTTAGTCTGTGATAGGGCTGAGAGCACGTCTGAGATCTGCGTGGCTATTGCTGTTATTGTTAGATCGGGGGGAAAGTTTTCAATCAGTGTGTTTATTCTCCAAATACATTCAGCCGCAGGTCAACCGAAGCTATGTGCAGATCTGTGCCACATAGATAGCCAAGTAGATACTATTATTTTTTTGAAGTTGAAATGTTTTGGTTAGACATTTTTTAGCAAAGGTTCCTAAGAAAACAAAGCTCGCAGTTGTGCTGTCAGCCTGCACTTCGCACTCTAACAACCTCTGACTCCATGGGCCATTGAAAACCATATTTGAAAGAAGGATTTTAGATTTTAGGTCTCAAAAACATGATGTTCCTCTGTATTTCATGAAAACAGGCAGCTGAGTAGAAGAAAGAGACTCTTTTTTTTGTTTGAACTGAGTGGAGAGGGCTGCAGGACGAGCTCAACCCTTATTAGACACTGGAGAGTCTCTGGGCCAACCCCTCAAGCCATAACAATGCTTGGAGACGGCCTGCGTGGATGCTGCTCCTTGTGGAAAAACTTGCTAAAACACAGCGTTTCTGTACATCTTTGGTTTACTAGAGTTTTCATTGTCCAACAGTAATTTTCCCCACAACTTTTCCTGGCTAAGAGCAGTAGGCTCCCTGGAGTTTTATACCAGATTTAGGCAACGGTAATACATGGGTTTTTGAAAATACATAAATAAATAACCTCGTGGGAGGAGGAGAATGGAGAGGAAACCTGAGACTCACTAAAGGACATATCAGAGTAGTCGTAAATGTAGCCAACATCAGCAAAGGGATGGGGACAATTTACACCCATGGCTTGAAGTTCCTATTTTGTCTAGACTGGAGCATCTTTCAGGCTCTTCTCCCTTCTTCCTCCACGAAACATGGGGGGCATACGCCCTGTGGAAGCAGGTGGGAATGGGTGCTCGGTGGCCACCAGCGGTACACGTTGTGAAACGCGTTGCGGCACGCTGTGCACCACTTCCCGGGCAGCAATCTCCGCTCAGGGGACTGGCTTCTGCTTTCTAGAAGAATGAAATTTCATAGGTTCGTTTGAAGGAATAAAGAAAGAAAGGATAAATATGTATTTTAAAGGATATATCTGTATTTTAATGCATGTATTTTAATGTCAGTCCTCCATGCCCTTCCAATACCTGTCTGAGACTCTTGTCTCTAAGTGTCCTGAACGTTTGCTCTCCTGGAGGGAGCTCCTGGTGCTGTTCTGTGGATGGGTGGAAGCAGTTGTATTTCCATGGGTGGAAGCCGTCATTTCCATGGGTGTAGGCTTTCATATCTCCACTGGTGCTGATGGAGACATGACAGTTTCGGCTTGAATAAATTCTTTTCCCTGATTTTAAAATGAGAAGTAGGAGTTACATGGCCTAGGATAGGGGGCTAGTTATATCACTGGTCTCTGGATCTCCTGAAAGACTGAGGATTCAGGCAGTGCCGAGCTGCGTTTGAAATTCTGGCAGGGCAGCTCAGCCCTATGAAGTCAGCGATATCACTAGCGTTTTGGAACGAGCGAACACACCCACCGCCTGGAGCTTTGCGTGCGGCAAACACCCACATCCCTTAAGGAAGATGTGCTGTTGCAAAGACTCTTCCAGTCATAGAGGCCAGCACTGGCGGGGGGGGGGGGGGGAAGGAAAAAAAAAAAAAAAAGAAAAAAGAAAGAAAAGCAAGCTATCTCATTTCTTGTGCTGTGGGTGGAGGAGAGAGCATTTCGCAGAGTCCCAGACATGAGCCACCCGGAAAGGCAGTTTGAAAAGCTTAGCCCCACACCTGAACTTTCGTCCAGGCCATTTGTGGTTTCCTGCTAAACATACTAACCGTGTTAAACTGATGTCTGATAGTTCACTCAGTGTTTTTCAATCGGTTTTGATCTGTGGATCTGCATATAAGAACTGCAACATGCCAGCTAGTTTGCTTTTTCAGGGGCAGGGGATGCTTGTCACCAAAGCCTGGGACACACAGGTTAAACAAGTGCTCTAGCTGCCTGCAAAGCAGATTTGCAAATTTTTTATTAGGATAAGAAATGATTCTGGCATCTTTGCTCATCCTCCACTGCCAAAAGTAATGTTTTTCACCAATAAATACATGTTTTGAAGGGAGCAAAAATGTTTTGTTTTTTTTTTCCTCAGCCTTTAAGGCATGTTCTACATGATCAGCTGAAGTTTTGAGGGAAGAATGTGGAATTTTTCTTTCCAAAATGCTGAAACAAGGAAGCCTCACAATTGTTAAAATGGGTTCTTCTCAGAGTGTTTTTTTGAAGTAACATGTGTTTCAGAAGTGACATGATTTCACAAACAATAAAAATAAAAATTGGCCTCATCAAAAAGACCTTTCTTGCAATTGAAATACTTCTAAGGACAATGCTGTAAGTGGCAGGCTGGGCACCCTGACCTCACTGTAAACCCTTTGGATTAGAAAATCGGAAATGGCAATTTTCCTATTGATTTAAACCAAAGTAGAGATTGGCTAAACCCTGGTAAGTGAGCTGAAGCAGAGAGATTTACTGGGATGTTAAATAAAAAGTTGTGGGAATGCCCTGCTCGTGTAAGAAACACGTTGCGCAGCCTCTCGAGCACGAGGGCTGCCCAGCCCGGCAGCGGCGCGGGTCTGCTCTCTGCCGCAGCGTAAGAACTGACTTCTGATGTGATGTTTCTCTCTTTTTCTCCACCCTACAGCGCCATGGCCACCTACTCCGCCACATGTACCAATGCCAGCCCCGCGCAGGGCATGAACATGGCCAACAGTATTGCCAACCTGAGACTGAAGGCAAAGGAATATAGTTTACAGAGGAATCAAGTGCCCACAGTCAATTAATGACTGGAGGCAGCTGCCTCACAGAAGGAGAAAATACAACAGCACCCGTCCTGCTTCGCAATTTGTTTGTGCTGAAAGAAAAAGGAAAAAAAAAAACAAAAAAAAAGAAAAAAGAAAAAAGCTAACCCCCAACCCAGAACTAAACTTTGGGACCAAAGCGGGAGCAAACCAAACCGCTCAGGAGTGACAAGGTTCCTCCTTCCTTTTGGGATAATGCCACCGTTTTTTTTCTTGTTATTGTCAGGTTTATTGCTTCTGCTCAATATACTACGAGCTTCTTCAGTTAAGGACAGTCTCACCCTTGTTGTTTTCCACTTTTGTATGGGACTGCAAAAAGAAACCGCTGCCGATTTCAGCCCGCGGTTGCCTCCCACCCTACATCGTGCTGAGATGCAAAGCTTACTCCTTCCTCCCCCTGCCCCAGCTCACCCTCGAAGAAGAAACTCTTCCATCACCGCTTTCCGATGTATGCACGCAACCCATCATCCCCCTTGAGCCACGGAGGCAGAGTTGTTATTGTCAGACTCCGATAAGCCCATCAGGGCAACGCGAAGGGATCATCCTTCCCAGGTTGCCTGGACCAGTCTGATATGTGGGGAAGACCTCCATGGGTTTCGCAGCGCTTCATTGCTTTCTTGAGTGTTCCTGGCCTTGCTGCCTTGAAAAGCCAAAGAAGACACAAAAGCCAACGTGCGTGTGTGAGTGTGCGTGGGGGATGTAGTGGGGGGTTTGCTCTGTAGTGCCAAGAATAGGACTGTTAGGACACTCCTTTCTATGCCTTACACTTTGTGCCACAGGGAAAGGCGTTGTCCAGATGCGTTTGTTTTATATATACTGTATATATTTATATATATAAGATATACATGCAAGCTTGGTTGGTGTTTTTTATTAAACAAAATAAAATCAATTGAAAATGTTTGGGATGTTTGTGCTGCATCCAGGTTTCTGGAGCCATGTGTTGAAATGCCACCTCCAGGCCCTCTAACTCTTTATCAGACCTGTTCCGAGTAGCCTTGGACAGTACTTGAAATAGCCATCTCTTCTCTTCCCGTGGGAAAACCTAAAAGGGGAACTAAAGGGAGCCATACTCCTTTGCAGATTTTCCCCATGGGCATTTGCATCCTCATGGAGTAAGGCAAGGGTCTCACCTGCCAGCCAGGTAGTTCCACGTGCCTCTTGGGAACATACAAGGATGTCCCCACGGAAAGTCTCTGCTAGCCCCTCTGAGGAAGGGCACGTTCTCAGCACAGAGCATCCCACTCAAAGACCATCTCTCCTTCCTGGCTCCCATTATACTGCCTAGCGAGACTCGTTTTGTCACCTTAACTTCCCTCCTTTGCTCTCCCTACCTGCTTCGCACTCTCCCTCTGGTGTCTGAAGAACTGGGCCCCATGAACCCAGTTTCCTTTTCTCCATTAAGAGTAGGGGAGGTGCAACCCAAAAGGGTTTCTTTCATGCAAGCATCCTGAGGAAATTAGGATGTTTCATGTTGCTGGTGGTTCCTGCCTCCTTCAGTTTGGGGGCATATTTAGGCCAAGTAGTGCTTGTACAAGAGATCTGCCCAAATGTAGCGGGACTTTGCCCTAGAATAGTCCCGCTGAAGATAACACTGCTACTCCATGGTCCAGGCTGGGTGATAAGGGAAGGGAAACGTAGCTCAGTCATTAGGAATATTTCTGAACAGTGTCTGACAGGTCTCGGTCTTGGTGTTTGCCACAGATACATTGGGCATATGTAGGAGAAGTCTGACAGGGGGCTTTGGTGTTGCAGGAAATGAGAAATAAATGTCTTTAAAGTGAAGGCGAAAATTAAACTTGCAAAATGTGACTGGAAATCCAACCAAAGAATTTGTGCTGACACTTGAAAAAAGCCCCGTATCCCAAACTGGTGTAAGTTGTGCTAGTGCTGGTGATTGCACATGTTGCTGGTGGATTCTTTTTCCTCCATGCCATGGATATTTTTGAGGGAAAAAAAAAGATTGTGATCAGGACAAAAAGCTGAAAATGACAAATTATGTTTGTGAACAAAAAAACAGCTGGGAGTGAACAGGAATTGCATTTTGAGAAATCTGGGATGTTCTGACTCTCCCCCCCCCCCCTTTTTTTTCCCCTTGCTTCTGTAGTCCAAAGGCATTAGCACTGTTAAACTAAAAAGTTTCTGTCTTGATTAGTGTGTCTCCAGCTCCTGAAGCTAAGTGATGACATTGGAAATCTCAGTCTTCACTTAGAAATTCACCCTTGGTTTCTGTGCCTACACAAACAGAGACACTATTGAAGAACATGTACTGCAAGATCAGAAAGAAAAAGAATCCAGTGCAATGTAATGTTTAACCAACTGCATGATTTTTGCAGGATCCCTAACTTGTGTTTTATCAAATGCACAGGACTGAATTCTCAGTGCAGAGAAACGTAGGGAAAACGGCCAGTCCAGACACTGCATGTATTGTGGCATGTATTTTATTGGACTGGTGAGTGGAGCGCTGGGCATTGGCACTCAGAGGTTGTCCTGCCTCTGGCTCATTCAGTGCCAGATCTGACGCTCTCCCCTCTCCGTGCCTTGCTACCCTCATCTGCAATTTGCCAACCTCGAGTAGCGACAGCAGCCTGAATGTCCTGCCCTGTGCCAGGCCATACTGCCCTGGCTGCTAGGCACAGAAGACTAGCAGCACAGCCTGGGAGGAGCTGTCTTTCTGGCCCAGGGGGAAGGCATCTCTGTAAACCACCCTCTTGCACAAGCAGTTTTTGTCACTTGGGTGAGTTAGGATGGTCTTGGGGCAGAGGGCTGGCTCAGACAACTTCCCAAAGGTCCTGCAGATTTCCATACTTCTGCCCTTTCACAGGAAGGCTGGGGCCCGTAGTGGAAGTGGGAGTGTCAGTGGCCTGATGCTACCTGAATGGCCACCTCTGAAGTTTCAGCTGACTCCTTGGGCATTTTGGTTGCTTGTGGCATTTCCCTAGTCTTTGTTTACCTTTTCCACAGGCAGAAAGATCACCTTGAGCAGCCTTCTTGGATGTCTGTGTAAGGGCACCCATTTCTAAAGTTAGCAAGCAGACGGTTCAGGGAACATGAAATTAGAAACATCTGGTACCCTATTATCCATCTGTGGATGGGCATATCCCTCTCCAGCCCCATGCTATGATGTTTGCATGGAGGGGCTCACATAAATGTCAGTGCAAAACACTTGTTCACCTGCCTCAGTTTACTTGTGTGAGGAACTGCACTGACTTGCATGGATCAGCTCCTGTGGGAAGGCTTTTGCACTTCCAGTTTTGGTCAGGTCTTGCCTGATCCCTGGGTTGGGCTGCTTGATTTTGGGGATGCTGTCACAGCTTGATTGGACTTTCGCCAGTCCAGATGAGACCTTTCCATCACCTGTGAAGTGGCTAACCCAATGACATCCAGATGTAAACCAGAGCATCCAAGTCAATATGGCCTTGTTTACATGTATTTGCCAAACAGAGTCCAGATCAATCAATGGACAGGTTTTGTTGTTTGTTTCTTAATTGCTGATGACCTCAGCCAACAGGCAATGTCTAGCTGTCTATCAAGCCAAAGCAAAATATTATGATCGTGTATGTTTAATCTGTATTTTATTGAACCATGTAAATATATGTGGGAATTAAGGGCTTTATCCTGAAAGCATGGAGTTCTCCAGGGTTTTAACAGATTTTCAATTGCAGCTCCTAGGAAGTTGCCGTGGTAACCCCTGTTATCACAAAGTTTGGGTACTGTTCAGAGGAGAAAATGATCTTGAGGCACATTTCTCTCGCCTGCTCTGTACGAACACTGATTTGTCAGCCCCACTTTCTTGATGCAGAAAGAAGGTGGCTGAATCACCCTAAGTGGGATTTTTGAGCGTGACAAAGATGGATGATTGATGAGGCTGGCGGAGCTTGATGTGCGAAGCAACGGGAGGGATTCCCAGATGGAAGTGTATCCTGTAAATTATCTCTTGCTTTGTGATGTAAAATGTACAGTGTTTGCACTAGAATAGAAATGATCATTTTCAATAAAAGGGGGGAAAATCTCCCCAATCCTTTCTATAAGCTTGCCACATATGTGTCATGTGTATGCTGCCCTGACGTTGCCCCTACGATGCTGGCTGGGGCTGGGAGGATCCCAGAACTGGGTGGCACGTGGGAGCCAGGGCTGGTGCTGAGGAGTGGGGGCAGCTGGAAATGGGTTCAAAAAGAGTGTAAGGTGGGAAGTATCAATGAAGATTTCTCCTTGAAGAAGAGTTTTTCAGGAAGAGGCAAGACCTGCCTGTGGCTTTGTCCCCTGGTTCCCTCCACCCTGAAGGGCTGGCAAGTGACTCTCGGTCCCTGGAAAGGTGATGGGACAGCTCATACGGGATGCCATCTCTAAGCATGTGGAGGATAAGAAGGTGATCCGTAGTAGTCAGCATGGATTCACAAAGGAGAAAACATGCTTAACCTATCTGATAGCCTTCTATGATGGGATGACTGGCTGGGTAGATGAGCGGAGAGCAGTGGAGGTTGTCTACCTTGACTTCAGCAAGGCTTTTGACACTGTCTCCCAAAACATCCTCATAGGCAAGCTCAGGAATTGTGGGCTGGATGAGTGGACAGTGAGGTGGATTGAGAACTGGCTAAACGGCAGAGGGCTGTGATCAGTGATGCAAAGTCTAGTTGGAGGCCTGTAGCTAGCGATGTCACCCAGGGGTCAATACTGGGTCCAGTCTTGTTCAGCGTATTCATCAGTGACCTGGATGAACAGAAGCAGTGCACCCTCAGCAAGTTTGCTGATGATACTAAACTGGGAAGAGTGACTGATACACCAGAGAGCTGTGCTGCCATTCAGAGGGACCTCGACAGGCTGGAGAGATGGGCAGAGAGGAACCTCATGAAGTTCAACAAAGGCAAGTGCAGGGTCCTGCATCTAGGGAGGAATAACTCCATGCACCAGTACAGGCTGGGGGCTGACCTGCTGGAAAGCAGCTCTGTGGAGAAGGACCTGGGAGTCCTGGTGGACAACGAGTTGACTATGAGCCAGCAATGTGCTGCCCTTGTGGCCAAGAAAGCCAATGGTATCCTGGGCTGCATTAGGAAGAGTGTTGCCAGCAGGTCGAGGGAGGTGATCCT